CTGTATGGCCCTGGAAGATGACTGGTTAGCCAGAGATGGGTAAGATTCCTCAAGGGAGGAACAACCTAAGACAGGCACAGTCGCAGGGGGGCCATCAGGTGAGAAATTGGGGATCAACAGAGGTGAGGCTTAGAACCTCACCCCCCCCTGTTTTGAGAGAAATCTTCTGCCTCTGTGGACGTTTTGTTGCCCTTGTCTAGCTTGGATTAATACTTAGTCTATAGTCATAGACCTGATTTTCTACATTTGCCCTCTTACAGCACTAAGTTATGTTTTCTACCTTTACCTTGCATCTACCTACCAGTTCAGCATTTTATTTAAAATAATAATAATAATAATAATAATAAGGGAGAAATGTGGGATTCACATACAAATCAAGTATAAAAATCAAATGAATAATCATATCTGACTTGATTGTTTCTAGTTCATGATGTGTGATCAAAACTGAACGTTTCTGTGATGACTGCCCTTGTACTGTTCACCATGTAAGAATTTATTCACTATGTAAGACCTTGTTCTCCATGTAAGAACTTGTTCGTTATGCTTCAGAAGATTGGAGACTGTTGAGAATTAGGCTTGGGGCTGATTAATGATTGTGCATTGAGTCCCCTATACAAAATTTTATTGTTGTTAACGACCATTTGATCAATAAATATGAGAGATGCCCTCTCAAAAAAAAAAAGATAAATGGAGAGGTATAACATAAAAAAAAAGAAAAGAAATCCTACCATTTGCAACAATATGGATGGAGCTAGAAGGTATTTTGCTCAGTGAAATAAGCCCGGCAGAGAAAGCCAAGTACCAAATGATGTTACTCATTTGTAGAGTATAACAAGAAAAGCAAAAAGTGAAGGAACAAAACAGCAGCAGACTCACAGACTCCAAGAAGGGACTAGAGGTTAACAAAGGGAAAGGGGGTGGGGAAGGTGGGTGGGGAGGGAAGGAGAAGGGGATTAAGGGGCATTATAATTATCACACACAATATAGGCAGGTCAAGGGGAAGGTAGTATTGTTTAGAGAAGACAAGTAATGACTACAGCATCTTACTGGGCTGATGGACAGTGATTGTAATGCGGTGGTGGAGGAACTTGATAGTATGGGTGAATGTTGAAACCACAGTGTTGCTCATGTGAAACCTTCCTAAGATTTTAAATCAATGATAAATTGATTTTAAAAAAATAGAAAGAAAATAGGCCCAAGCTTGCATATCTTCCTCAAACAGACTTCCAGGTCAATTAAAGAGAAGAGTTATTTTTTAAGACACTTTTTGGGTGTGGATATTAACATATATTTTTTGATAATAGGGAAAAGCGTTCTTTAAAAAGTATTTTTCTCTTTTTGATTCGAGTAAATGCTGAGGAATGTTATCTCTCAAGTTGGAAGCAGTTTAACAAATAATCTTTAAATTTTAGTCTCTCATTTTTGTTCAGAGAGGACTGTTATAGTAAATGTTACTAGTTAGTTAATTCTAAACTTTTATTTTCATAAATTCGATTATGGAAGCATACTCAAGAACTGAACTGGCAAATTTAAAACATTTAATCTGAATGTTGGGGAAAGGGGAATCCCCCTTTGCTAGATGGACTTAGAATTCAGGAAATAATTTGAGTGTATGTGTTTAAAGAAAGAATAGCTGGGAGGAGGAGTGGTTGCAAGTCACAGAGTGAATGGATAGATTTGAAAAAGAGTATTTAGCACTGCAAAAAGCCAGCATGGCTTCCTTAAAAAAAAACAATATCCCAAATAAAATCAGAGTCGGAAATGGAAACAGACCATGGAGTACCTAATAAGTCTGGAATGAAAAATGAGAAAGCAGCAAACAGTGAAGAGTGTTGTCCCCAGGAGAAGGCTAATACAGCAGGACCACAGTTTGTGAGTGGTGTGATTGTGAAGATAATCAGCACCGAGCCTCTACCTGGCAGAAAACAAGTCAGGGATACTTTGGCAGCTATCTCAGAAGTTGTTTATGTTGATTTGCTAGAAGGAGATACAGAATGCCATGCTAGATTTAAAACTCCTGAAGATGCTCAAGCAGTAATAAATGCATATATGGAAATTAAAAAGAAACACTGCTGGAAACTCGAGATCCTTTCTGGTGATCATGAACAGAGATACTGGCAAAAGATTCTGGTAGATAGGCAGGCCAAACTTAATCAGCCTCGTGAAAAGAAAAGAGGCACTGAGAGGTTAATCACCAAAGCTGAAAAGATTAGACTTGCAAAGACTCAACAAGCAAGTAAACACATTAGATTTTCTGAATATGACTGAAAAAACTTTTGGTTCACCTCTTAAAATTTCACTGGACTTGAGCTGATCTTACGAAATCCATTTTTATTATGGCAGTAATGCATAATGAATGTTTTTCTAAAACCTATATTCAATTAAAAGAAATATCTTTGTTCCTTAACTCATATATAAGACCTTTTTCTATAGACAAGTACATTGTATACTATCATTTTTCACTGAACATTTTTTTTGTTGAAATTTATCTTACAGAAAGCAACCTCAAAGTGACAGTAAATAAAAGTATTTTGAACATTTTCAAAAAAAAAAAAAAGTATTTTTCTTTCTGAAGGGCCTTCCACACAGTGGCTGTGAGAAGAGGGAGGAGGGAGTGAGCACATTCATGCCCATTATTTCATTTACATATGACATGACTTTTAAGAAGAGGCAATTTTCTAAAGTGAAGAACACAGTAGGTATTTGACAGATTTTATGGATAATATTGGGTAGGGCTCTCTTTCTCCTCAGAATTGCGTAAGCATTACTAGCATTCTGAATCCTCATTTTAAACAGAAGCTTGTAGGTGCCAGTAAAACAAAACATGCTCTATAAACTGACGGAATTGAGTCTTCAAAACAGATAATATTGTGTTTATTTATACAAATTTTGTGTTTACCTTTACAATAAAATGAATCTTATTTGTCTTCCTTTGTTGGTTTTAAACACTTTGAGGCTACAATTCATCTCAACAATTTTCAAAGTGCAGTCAATGGATCTTTGGGGATCCTTAAGATCCTTCCAAGTGATTGAAGAGGTCTTCCTCTTTCCAGTGATATATCTGTGTAAAGTCAAATTTTTTCCATATAGTTCAACCTCAACTAACTATCTCAATAGACTGAATGCAGAAAGAATACTTCCCCTGGGATTTCTTAGTAGCATTTAAGCCAAATCTTGATGAGTCAGGATTTTATCATGTGGTCAGTGCCAGAGAAATCCATGAAGGAGATTTCAGAGTAGTTGTATTCAAATATATCAAATTTAGTAGAAAAGAGCACAGCAGCTCCTTCCTTAGACTTTATGCACTCCCTTTTCCATTAAAAGGCCATAACCCTTCATATATCAATCTCACCTAAGAGTTAGTTCAAAATCAGCTCCCTCATAAATGGCCTTTCCACCCAACATTCAGTTATTACCAATCTTTATAGGCAACCCTGCATCATTTGTTATTCAGAGATTTTGTTTTTTTATGTCTTGTCTCACTATATAGATAACATATAGGTTTCTGATGTAGAGAGTGACCTAAATCCTTAATCATGTTCATAGTCTTTGAATATCTCACAAGCTCAATCATGAAAATGTGTAATTTTCAACCCTCCTCAAAATGTCTTAGAGGAGTGGTCTGGCCTGTCTTGAACATTTGGGTAGAAATAGATAAATATATAAGCAGCAAATTTATCATGTCTGATAGCTTGTAAAAGGTTTCATATCCATTGTTGTACAACTGTGAATAGCTGTCATCCATGCAATTTTTTAATCAATAAAATATATTCTGCTTCCACTGTGATGCCAGACTTAAGTCCTTTTGGGTAAGTAGTATTAAGCATGTAAATAATAACAAATAAATGAGGAAGTATAGTAGAGAAGCCAAGATAAGCTCCCAGCAGACTTAATGGACCGAGAACAAAGCAGCTTTCTTTTGGGGTGAGCCTGAGAGTGCCACAGAGGGAGTGGTAGCTGAATGGAGTTGTAAAGGATGGAAGGTGCCTGAAAGTCAGGAAGAAAAGCATTATGGACAAACAGAACAGCATGCGGAGAGCACATAGGCCTAAGACAACAAGGCCCATTTGAAGCATAGCAAATAATTTCATGTAGCTGAAGGGCAGAAGAAGTATGGATGGAGTTTAAAGTGAGACTGGAGAGTTAGCCAGAGGCTGAAAGTGAGACTTTGTATAGTAGCTGTAGCATTTCTGTTTTATCTTGTAGACAAAGAAAAGTTGCTAAAGGATTTTAAGCAAAGGAACTCTGTGGTCAGATTTAGAATTTGTAAAGTTAATTCTAAATTCAGTGTTACAACTTATCCAAATAAACAGCAATAAAAAAATGTCATGAAAAGTTGTGACACATAGCAGAACTAAGTAGTGTTGAGTTTCTAAGCACAGAGGCATGTAATTCTGCAGCTGACTTTGTACATTAAAAATTGTACTGAGGTGCTAACAGTATAATTAAATGGAACAACATAAATAAGATTTTTCAGGGTTTCAAAGCAACTGTATTCTTGCCTCCCAAAAAAGAAAGAAGCAGAGAGAGATTCACAAAACACCAGTATCTGTTAACAAATCATATATCTTTCCTGATTTTTCATGCTTTCATTTTAGGTTGACTTGTTTTTCTCCTTATGCACTTCCATTAAAACTGAGAATCAATGATTTAAAGTCTTTGCCTACAAGCTGACAAAAAAAGCTATGATATTTTTCTTTCTCTTTCAATTTCTCTTTTCTTATTTCTTCTTTAAAAATATATAAACGCCTTGCGTCAATTTCAGATGCCTTCAATAATAATTTAGGCAGCAGCAACATTAATCAGAGAAGAGTATCTTATCTTTTTTCTTAATCCAGAAGAATTCAAAAGTATTTTATGACCTTTCACCCATAAAAATAGCTTAGTGCACCATGAAAATTTACTCAAGACTGCATAAAATGAATTAACTGTCTGAGTAAGCCAGCAAGGAAAGGTAGAGCTTAGGTATTTCCTTTGCCAACAACTGTTTCTATACTAACACACTAATGTACTTTTTGGGAAAATGCCAAAGATGATACTAAGAAACTTCCTTTTCTCTGCCCATATGTTTCTCAAAAAAAAGAAAAAGAAAGTTACACTATAAACATATAGAATAAGTTTATTTGCTTCAAACAAATGGAGATAGGGCCATCCGATAGTATAATACTATAGGTTTTTTGAGGAACTTGAAGATGAATTTCAGATCTACATTAGCCAGCTGCAACCTTGAGCAAATTGTTTGACCTTACAGGCCTATTTCTGTAACAACAAAATAAAGATCCGATGTGTTTTTAATATAATATATATAATATATATTGTGTTTAGCAGTGCCTGTTATAGAGTAAGTGTTAAATATAAAAAACTATCACAACTATTCAAATTTCTATTATATAAATGCTTTACTTTTTCTTCTGCCTACTGAGAAATGAAACTTTTCCTATTGTGGGGAAATTCTGCTTATCACAAAACTCCCATCAATTCATCAATTCACTTATCCAAATTATCAAAATTATTTTTTAAGGGCATACTCTCTCATGGTGGTTATGAAATCTATTACCCTAAAATTTCATCCCTGGTTTTTGTGCAAATTTGTAAGTTTAGGCTCCCAAGATCAGTTTACATTAGTCCATTGGATTATAAGAAAATTATCTCACAAGAAAAAGGTATCTAGACCTTAAGCTTTGGGGAATCTCAAAAATGATTTTACAAGGACAGTCAGACTCAAAAATAATCAAACACACATGAAAAAGGGGTGAGAGGGGGTTGTGAATAAGAGCCAGCAGTTAAAAAGAGTGTACATATTGACATTATCACACATAGAATACATGACTATGCTTATAGTGCATAAAGAAAGAAGCAATTACCTCAAAAGCATCTGCCAAGTATAGGAACCTACAGAAAGTGACAACACAGATTTGAAAAACCACCAAATAATTTGAAGAAGTAAAAAATAGGATACAATGCAAAACAATGAAAACATAACATACAAAATAATTATACAAATTTAATACAAGAGTATTAAAAATAAAATTTTTTAATTTTTCTTTTTTTTTTAAGAGAAGGAAGTCAGGGTGAAAGAAGTCTGGCCACTGAGCCCTGAACCAGCAGATCACTGACTGACTTCTCAAATATGGCGATGGGAGGGATAGACTGATGAGAGGTGACAGGCTGCCCAAGCTGTCAACTGACTGGAGCAGTGAGTTAAACAAGCCTAACACGTGGACCTTCAGGTCGGTGTGAGCAGCAGGGTTTTAGTCTGTGGAGATGTCCACTGTGCAGAGGGTGTAGGAAGGAGCACGGGTAGATGCAGGAGAAACTGGAGAAGCTGGTTTCCTTCAGCTTAATAATATCAGCCACTGGGGATGAAGCTGCCCAACAGCTCGTGAGTGTGTGGAATGTGCGAACAGAAGCCTCCATAGAATGAGGGAGTTCTGTGTTTACCAGGAAGTGCCACCCTTGAGGGGGACAAAGCCAATTTGAGCACGTTTGGAAAGGAGTAAGTAGGAGAGGGAGAAGGCTGGAAATGAAATCATGAGATACATGATACTTGGTAAGCTCAGACGAGTTGTTTTTAAATACTTGAAGGACTGTCAGCAGGAAAAGGATTTAATTTGTCCTGGGTGAGCCCCAGGGAGATAGACTGCCCAGCAATCTGAGGCAGAACTCAACAGGTCAGATCCACAAGGGTGTGCTGCCAGGACGCCAAGGAGGAGACCCTTGGGTGGTTGGGGGTCCCCGCATCGGGGCGGGTGGATGGCCCTGCAGTCGGCCCAGAGTTCCTGGGATTCTCATACTGGCGTATGCTCTGCTGAAGGCTGCAGGATGGCAGCCAGGAGGCCTGGGCTTGTTGCCACGGCTTTGCTGTTGTTCTGAGAAGACCTAGAAGAATGTGGGGGAGAGAGAAAAATACTTCAAGTTTATCATGAATTGCACTTTTGGTGTGTGTGTATGTTTACATTAGTAGCATCACACTGTATATATACTTTGCCAGTTTTTTCTCACTTATGTTTTTGGGATGTGTGCATGTTGATGTATGTAGACATAGTTTCCTTTAATGGCTACATAGTATTAACATTTTATGTTTTATTGGCTAATCGGTTTTTTGGCTAAAAAGATTGTCCTTTGTAAGGTTAGGTATTTCTTTATTAAACTTAAGGACCAGAACTTTTAAAATTCACATTACTTTAAACCTAAAAATTAGAGAAAAAGAATATCAATAATTCTTGTTATAACTGTCTCTTTGAGGTCAGCTCTGCTGGTGTTTTTCATAGATCTGTGTTTTACCTGATTATAAATTTAACACTGCATCATTTGTATTTTTTTAGGATGTTTCACAGACTTTGTACTGTTTATTTTTCATTGCTGCCTAATATTTTAAATAAATCCAACTAATTTTTTTCAACTAAATTCCTATTCTTGATACTCATTATGATTTTTTGTAGTAAAATAAAAACATTTATATTTTCA